CTTCTAAACCCAAACCCTAAACCCTAAACCCGAAACCCTAAACCCTAAACCCTAAACCCTAAACCCTAAACCCTAAACCCTAAACCCTAAACCCTAAACCCTAAACCCTAAACCCTAAACCCTAACCCGACCCAAACCCCCTTTAAGGCTTCATGCGACTCCCCAGGCCGATCATCCGACCGCCCCTCCCTGCTCCGACTGCTGTGGAGCTGTCGGGTGACTGGGTCGACAGCCCCGCGGCAGCGTCGATTTGGATTTATGGTTTGGGGGGTTTGGGGTTACGGTTTTTCGGGTTTTGGATTTAGGGTTTAGGGATTTGGATTTACGGTTTCGGGTTTTGAGTTTCAACTATCTTTCGGAGAGGCTTCGCAAGGGTTTGAAAAGGGTGTTTACAGGGATCTGCACTAAGGGGTGCTTTGGAAGATGACAGGCTCTGCCGGGTTTTGGGGTTGTCAAAGCTTTCGGCCGGGTTGAGCCTTTAGGGTTGCGAGGGTTCAGGTTTTTTCGGGGTTTCGGGCTCAAGAGAATGAAGATCTAGGGCTCAGGGCTGAACGGGTCTCGAGGGCAGCATTTTGGGAGGTCTAGGGCTTCGTTCGGGTTTAGATTTTTTGCCGTCTCGGGTTTCGGCGTGTAGGGCTTTGGGACCAAAATGGTTTGGCGTTTGGGTTCTTGTCAAAAGATCAAAGTTCTAGTGCTCTCCGCTAAACTTAGGTCTTCTGTGAACCCTATCTTAGATTAGCGTTTTGGGAGATTTCATGGTCGAATCACGGTCCTCCACAACACCTGAAACAAAAGGAGGAAGCAACACGAGCAAAACAGTAAGGATAATAGATATTATGTCAAGAATTGAAGCTCACACTAGGGTTGAAGTCCGAACACCAAGGTCGTTTCTTCAAATAATCGTTTCATGTTCGGAGATCGAAAGTTCGGGTTTGGGGTTGGGGTGGGTCATTAATCTTCAGAGTGGCTGAAGGTTGAGGCTGCAGGTTTAAGGTTAGAGATTTAAGGTTTAGCATTTGGGTAGAACCCTGCGCATCCCTGATCCCAAGACGTCCAACTCCAGGCCGCCATGTCGCATCAGATGCCTAGCAGTTGATCCCCATCCCGAACCTTGAGTCGTGAGCCTCAAGCACCCGGAACCCTAAACCCTAAACCCTAAACCCTGAACCCTAAACCCCAAGCGGTAAACCTAAAACCTTACACCCGAAGCGAAGCCAGGCATGGGGAACCTCTTGCAGGTCAACCCAAAAGCGACGCAGGCAGAGTGTTTCGATCTACTGGGCTGTGAACGCGGGCGGGGGAATGATGGTTCAGGGTTTAGGGTTTAGGGTTTCTGGTTCCCAGGAGTTTTCCGGTTCCTAGATATGATAGCATGAAGGGGGTTGGCCTTAGACTTCCTTTCGGGCCCTGAAGAAAGATCGTGCTATGACCAGAAGCCTAGGAATCTAGAGTTGCTGGAGCCGCAAACTGTCGCTTCTTGAATCCTAAACACTACACCTAAAGCCTCATATCCCGCCATGGACCAGAACTTCTGAACGAAAGCCCGGAAGCCTCCACAACCAGATGCCCTAAACCCCGTAACCCAAACCCGAAGCCCTTAACCCAAGACCCCCAATCCTCGGTGCTCTGCTACCGCTCCCCTGTTTGAGGCCCGCCTGGTGGGACCCCGCGGCACGCGCACGCTGCGGCTTTCCAAAGACAACTGGGGCAGGTCCGAGGGCGGAACCCTGAAACCCTAAACCCCGGCCTCTAGGCCTTAAGGCGCAGGCCGTTTTGGTCGCAGGTTTGGGGTTTAAGGTTTGGCGCTTGGGGTTTGATGCGTGAATGCATAGCTGCCTGGGTTGTAGTGTGCTATGGCCGTGTGATCTGTCGTTAAAGGAATCATGTCTAAGCTTGTTTTCCCCTGAAGGCCCCGTAGTCAGTCTCCCATTCCCTGACCTCTCTATCCCAGAACGCGAAGCTAGGCTGTGGTGCGGCACTTACGTCTTGCTGGAGATAGGCTATGATGATGACGAGGCGGCTTGAAGAAGAGGGGGCGGGGCCCCAACCACTCCTGGCATCTATCAGACCCGGAGTGGTTCAGGCTTTACCCTGAACCCTAAACCCTAAACCCTAAACTCTAAACCCTAAACCCTAAACCCTGAACCCTAAACTCTAAACCCCAGGCACTATAGGGTTACTTCATGAGTCTCCTCGTTATGCAGCTGCACTGCCATGACGCTCCCCTCTGCCATTCGGCTGCTCGGGTTCAATGTAAAACCTGCGATGCAAACGAGGCCTCCTGACGATGATGGTGAGGGTTTAGGGTGTAGGGTGTAGGGTTTAGCGATGATCGTGATTATTGATGTCGATGGCATCACCATTATTACTATGCTACTATCATAAGTACTACTTTGACATTGTTCGTGCCACTTACTGCTACAAACTTGTCATTTGCACCTTTCTTGTTACTACTGTTATCACTGTCAACTTCAGTATTGCTGTTTATGCTGCTATTCAGCAGCCGATGATTAGCAGTTGTTATGGTTCGTATTCCTCTTCCCATTATGCTTTCTTTTCTTGAACCAGCTCCTCAAAACCACAAGCCCTAAACCCCAAGCCAGATAGCTTGAACCCGAAACCCGTAATTCCCGGCACAATGCGCAAGCCGGACATCCACGTTCTTTCCACCTGGCTTCTTGGGAGCCTGATGTAGTCGAGTGGCGCGGTTTGGGGTCTGAGATTACGTATGAATAAGTGTTGAAGGTTCGAGGTCAATTCTCAGGGAGTTTAGATTTCATGGTCAACGGTTAAGGGTTTGATGCGCGCACAAAGAACTGGGAATAAAGGAGGAAGAACCGGGCAGTGTGAAAGCACAGCCCTAGCGCACTATGGAGAGCACGCCGAGGAACGAGGGCGCATCTGAATCTCAATGGCGGAAAAGGAGAGTGTCAAACGTCGTTTTAGACGCGGCTGATACTGACCAGAAACAGTAGAAAAGAGATCGTGACAGGTGGACGAACCGAGTGTCAGCAGGCTTTTTCTTGATAAAGCAGGCAGGGTCCGAAACGTCGGTTGAGGCCGGCGATACAAAGAACTGCAAGGAGTTCTTGCCACTACTGTAGCCAGGCATTGGACATAGGGTAACGCAGACATGATAAAGCATCTGTGGCTTTGAAGGTGAACTTGATTTTTGCATATGAGTTGGAAGACAGGTGGGACTGGGGTTAGGGGGTGGGGGAGGGGACTGAGGAGGGTGGCACTCTTGACCGATATTAAGTGCCCCTGTGAAGACCCCCCGAATAGCCTGTACGACTTACCCAACCTGCGAGGGCACAGATTCAGCTGCACCATCGTGCCTCGCTTGGCGCACAACTAGGTGGCAGCCCCCTGGCAGATTCTCTAACCATTGCATCGGGGCCTTTATGATTAGAATAGAGAGAGAGGAGTTTTGGGGCCCTTTATAGTATCATTATAATAAGGAACGCACCCAAAATAAGATAGGTAACTATGAAGGCCCCGACAGTAATCGTGCAAGTGATGGTGATGGTGGCGATGACGATGGTACTGGGTTTGCATGCCACAGCCTTCATCATCAACCCTAAGCTTCATGAGTTCTGTTTGGTTTAATATAGGGGTCTTAAGAATTACCTATACTATTCTGGGGTTCCTTATTATGAAGATAGCATAATATACCCCAAAACCCTATTCTAATTGTTAAGGCCCCTACATTTTAGAACCCTTATACTAAGCCAAGGAACCCTTTAAAGGAACCCCAAAACCCTATTCTAACTATTAAGGCCTCTACTTCAGGCCTAAAACCTAAACCCTAAACCTTATTCTAATTGTTAAGGCCCCTAGTTATTAAGGCCGCTACTTCAAGAGCTGTGGCAGGTTCAGCTCTTGACGGGTTTTCATCTGGACCCCACAGGCCCCAATTGCAAGGACCAAGAATTCCGAGATGCTGAAGGGTTTAGGGTTTAGGGTTTAGGGTTCCTTTGAGGAACAACCCTTACATGCTGGCAGAGGCCCTTCGGTAAGGAATATACCGTACGAGCTAGTAGAGGCTTTCAGGTAAGTAATATCCTTAGAACGCTTGTAGAGGGAATTCCCATTGTGAAATAGTGCGTAGTTGTAAAGTAACGTGGGCTCTCTGAGTAAGCACCCTAAGCCTACACCCCAAAAGCCCCAAACTGTAAATCTAAAGCATCTAGACCCTAAGGCGTAAACCCCAGTCCCCAAAACCCTCAAAACCCTAAGCCCCAATCTAAAGCAGCTGGACCTTAAGGCACAAAGCCCAACCCCCAAAACCCTCAAAACCCTAAGCCACCCAAAGAAACCTCGGGCTGCTGAGGAAGTCAATATGGCACCGGACCGCACGAAGGGAGAAGCCGGAACCAGAAGTTGTCCGGTGGGTGCTGTAAGTATGGAATTGCCACCGCACATACATGATCACCGACGCGACCACATTTAGCATCGTGTCCATCACGGTCATGATCATCACCTCCATTATCATCATCATCACCACGACCACGACATCATCATCATCATCATCGTCGTCGTCGTCGTCGTCATCACCATCACCATCACCATCACCAGCACCAGCACAAGCACCAGCACCAGCACCAGCACCAGCACCATCATCATCATCATCATCATCATCATCATCACCAGCACCATCACCAGGAGCATTCCTCAAACCATCGGCAAGACATTTGTTGACATCGTTGGAAATCCGGACTTGCTAGAAACTTTCTCAGACTGCATTGCACTGCCTTTCGAGACCATTGATCGCACCCACCGCATCTTTATCAACACATACGCAATCGTTTTGAACGCAAGGAGTTGGGAGAGGACGCGCGGCTCAAACCCAACACCCCACCATATCTTGGAGCTGGGTCCCGAACCCGGAGACCTGACAATCGCGAGGGCCTCTCCCAAGAGCTCCTTGGTGTCTGTCAAAAGAAATCCTCCGTGACACAAGAGGAGCTTTGGCGTTGGGGGGTCCCCTGAACCCTAACCCCGGAATTCGGCCCGCCCGAAAGCGCCGACAACAGAGGCGTCGAATTGACCTGAGTCCCCACAGTCCCAGACACCCAAACCCAACCCCTGAGCCCGAAGCCCTAAACCCAAAACCCGGAGCCCTAAGCCCTAAGCCCTAAACCCGAAACCTGAAACTAGACGGGTTTCGGCCCCACCGGTTTGGGGTTGAGAGCTGGGGGGCCCTGACGAACCAGCCTGCATCCCGCAATTCAAAGATCACAGAGCGAGCTTGCGTCCAAGGGCCAGGGCTACGAAAGGTTGGGGTTTAGGGTTTAGGGTTTAGGGGTTAAGGGTTGGGGTTTGGGGTTTAGGGTTTAGGGTTGGGTTTAGGGTTTAGGGTTTAGGGTTTAGGGTTTAGGGTTATGGCAACCTACTCTTATGGGTTTAGGGTTTAGGGTTTAGGGTTGTGGTCCCCTTCTCTTATCGGTACTTCCATCAAGGATCGCAGTGTTTTTGTTTGTGCATGTGTGTGTGTGTGTTGTTTACGGGCCCCCCCACATTTTCTGAAATTGCCAAACTGGAAATAGGGCCACCATGTAGGGTATAGTTGTCGGCTTCTGGGATGGGATTTCCTAATTTCCTAAGCCCCACACCTTACAAGCTTAATCGAGGGCTAGGGTGAGAGACTAAGATGACCAGAGTGTACTGGCTTCTTGGAAAAAGTACCATAACTTACGAAACCTTGACGAGGAAGGCATGTGATTCACGGTGAAATCGTTTTATCCCTAAAAGCAGCTTCTTCATTGCGTTGTTTGGAGCCCAGCTACGAACAAGCCCAGATGAACCCGCGTGTTCAGTTCCCTACACAACAATCTGAGGTTAGAAGTGTGGTAAACATGGTACAGTAGGTGTCTAAGGATCCCAGGGTAAACAGCCCATACCAGGGGCCCATGGTTTCAACCTTGAGGGGCACCGGGTCCGCTCGTTTGCAGTTGCAACTGGGCCTTCATCGGCCCAAACAGGGGGTTGGCACTATGCTACACCTGTTTCTGGACTACAAACGGCATGCCTGCCCAAAGCCTGAGCCAAAACCCTACACCCTGAACCCGCAACCCCAGACTCCTAAACCTTAAACCCTAAACCCTGAACTCCTCTAGAGACGGAAAAAGGCGTTCAAAACAGACAACTCCTCTAGCGTTCGAAGTGCGGAGCCCGAAGCCCTGAACTTTGGCTTGAGCTCGCCAAGGAGCAAGGAAGGAGGGACTGGGACAGGCCCCTTTTGGGTGCACCCTGGAGCCCCAATTCTATGAGTACTACAGTCGGGGTTTAGGGGTCAGGGCTTGGGTTTAGGGGTTAGGGTCTAGGGTTTAGGGTTTAGGGTCCAGGGTTTAGGGCTTTACTTTTAAGGTTTGCATAAGGCCCTTCATCCGTGTTGGGTTTGAGGGGCTCCCGATTGAGGTTTAGGGGTGTAGAGGTCTTGGTTAAGTTGCGCTGCCTGCACGGCTCACAGCGCTCGTTTCCAGGTGTAGAGGACCATGTCTGCCGTTGCTTAACGAGCTTGTTCTTTGAGATGAGGCAAATGTGGAGTTTCAGAAAAAACGGGGACAACTAGTATCAAAAAATAGGAGACCTGGTGGTGAGGACCCCTGCATGAGGTGTCCCTCATGTTCTGCAAAGCTCATTTGGGCTTCCGGGTGGGATGTGAGTCCCTTTGTACAAAAGCGAGAGGAGGCCTCCTTCCTAAGCGGCTGTCGCCAGTTACTCGGCCCCTCCAAAGCGACGAGCGCCTTCAAGATCTAAGAATCTAAGAGCCCTGAAGCTCCGAAACCTACACTGAAATCAACGAAGCCCAAAACAGGTTTGGATCACCAACAATAGCTTTCCTGCATAGTCCGCATAGTTTTGCACTCCATATACCCTTATATGTACCCAAGATTTAGGGTTCAGGTTGCAGGGTTTGGTTTGTGGGCGCTGACTTCCGGAAGCCCTGCAGCCCTTCACCACCTTGTCCTGTGCTGTCTGATTAGAGCTCAGGGTCGCGAAGGGTGCTTGGAGTTTCGGGTTTGGTCCCCCTGCACCTTCGCCCGTATGTTTTAGGGTTTAGTGCTTCTATATGGGACTTTCCAAAAATAGGGGGTACCTTGTTTTGGGGTCCTTATAATAAGGATCCTACTATTTAGGGTACTATATTAGGGTCCCCTATTTTCGGAAACCCCCATATCAGGCTATGAACATAGCTTTGGAGTGCTGTCGATGCCGAGGGCCCTCTTTTGAATGCGACGCCGCTAGTCTTGGCATTGGTGCACACGCCGCCCTGGGCCTGCCGACGCCTTCGCAGAGTTATGGGAGTTTCAGAAAAGCAGCGGTTGCTTTTTCAACCCAGGGTCCTCACCATGTATAAAGTTCACTAGAACCACTTTCACGCTTCAACCTCACAGTTATGTTAAGCTTGTGATTTTGTTGTTGAGTTTTGATTTTGAGTCTTAAGCGTTTGTTAGTTTTGTTGGTTGCTTTTGATTTCTACGGCTTAACCTTTGGGTTATATCTTTGCTTGTTGATGGCCCATCCGTCTTCTTCCGAAATCTATATCGGCCTCAAGCACGGAACCTTTAAAGCCCGAAACTAATTAAGCCGGAAATCCTAAAACCCAAAACCGTCATGCCATGGTCCTAAACCATAGCTCTAAACCTGTTGCTGCCACTGCGCAGCAAAACATCCGATTCTCAACCTTGCTAAACTACACTCCGCGAGCCCTATATCCTAAACCCCCAACCCTGAAACCAAAAAGATTTCATACCCTAAACCCTACACCCTAAACCCTAGACCCTAAACCCTGAACCCTAAACCCTACACCCTAAACCCTACACCCTAAACCCTAGACCCTAAACCCTGAACCCTGTATCCCCAAACCCGAAGAGTTAGAGACCCCTTAAAGGTCCAAGATCTGGACGTGTTGGAGTGGCTCCTAAACCCTAAACCCTAAACCCTAAACCCTTAACCCTAAACCCTAAACCCTAAACCCTAAACCCTAAGCCCTAAACCCGAAACCCTAAACCCTAAACCCTAAACCCTCATGAGTGGCAGGTCGGTCTGCGGCCCTTGGTTTCCCTCATCCGCTGGCGGGACAAGCTTCAGGTTCATACGGGCCTGTTCGGTTTAGGGTTTAGGGTT